CTACGTGAGGCCAATTTTGATTTTGTCTGCCTGTGAGAAAATCCAGCCTCATAGATATACATAGATATACTGGTACCAAGACAAAAAAAAAAAAAAAAGTGCCTCATGGGTTGAAGGTTTTCAAAGCCGTCGCATCATATAGGAGAATTATCTACATACCACAGTTTTCAATACATAATTTGATACATTCCTCTGCAGCTCCTAATAAACCATGTAAATGTGGTAAGCCTACACTGAACTACAAACAGCAAGCAGTAACAGCTTGCCGGACCAGGCCGCCACCAACTAGTAAACTACCGTAGTCCAACATTGCACCCTGCTACCAGCAGACAAATATTGCCAAAAGAAAACTGCATCACAACACACGCCAAGTAGAAGACCAACCAGGCTATGTCAGTGAACCAACAGGCCGTTAACAGCAATAGCCTGGTTGAACACACTAAACAAGGAAGATTGGCCGAAAGTTAGTCCGGTTGGGAAGAAAAGTCCAAAACGATATTTTTTTTTTTTTTAAGATTAATGCAAGTTATAATAACTGTTGGTGTCATGAAGACGTGTATCGAGGAGTTGTTGGTGGTGCCATCATCTGTATTATTAGCAGTTATCAGGTGTGTTATCAGGTGCAGGCCAGGAGGCTATCTTCAGCTCCCTCCCCCACTCACCCAGAGAGCTGCTCCCCCAACATGCCTCAGCTGAGGCAGCGGCAGCAACTAAACTTTTTTTTAAGCTCCCGTAGCTGATGGACCCTTAATAGAATGCTTGAAGATATCTTCCTTGCTCTACTGAAGTCTCCCAGCTCAGGCTTATTTCAACACTGAAAATCGTCCTCTGAATGAATATGACAGAGGAAACAGCTACCTTTGATGAGTTTCGCGAGTCTTTCTACTCCCGGGGCCCAACCATGGGCTAGGCTTGTCTGGTACTAGCCTGGTCAACCAGGCTGTTGCCGCTGGAGGCCCGTTGCCCCACATTTCCATCACAGCCTGACTGATCTGGCACCTGGTGAAGACGCTTGTCCAGCTTCCTCTTGAAGACTTCAACACTTGTTCCAGTAGTGTTTCTGATATCCTCTGGTTGGATGTTGATACAGTGTTTCCTTAGTGTGCCCCCCTGCCCCCTGTATTTGTTCCAGCTCGGTTATTTCTCCTGTCCTGAACGGGGCCGTCATTGAGCAATGTCACCAATGGCATTATTTTCCTTGTTTTGAAGGTTCTCATTACCCAACCCCTCATCCTCCTGGCTGTCGTGACCTTTCTCTTGTGTTCTTTGAAAGAAAGGTCAGCTGACAATTATTCCCAAGCCCTTCCATGTTCCTTCCGTTCTATTTAACAAGCCTCTCGAGTTTTGTATACAGTGTTACTTTTGAATTCATTCTTTCCATACCTAAGCAGTTGGAACTTAACACCACTGAGTATCATGTTGTTCCCCACTGCAAAACACTGGGCAGTGGAGCTAGCTTTTGTTCCCACTATATCTTTCAAATTGAATCTAGCATCAGCATACTGGTGATGTATTCACTTTCGTTGAAAAAAAAACAAGAAAGGCAGCAGTTATATATACCTCAAACAATGCCACATGAAATATGGTTATAATTCAATTAAGATAGCTTACCTTTTTTGCCATTCAGCTTTTAAGTCAATATACCACCATAAAGACATTAGCCCAAATTATCAGCACGCCATTGATGATACTAACGCCACCCTTGGATACAAGGGCGAGATGCCCGCCATATCGAGTAAAAAGATTACGTTTTTACTGGGAAAACGTACTCTCTCCGCAAAGCTTCATGTCAATGATAAAGCCTTGTACAAAGTAACGGTTTTACAAAAGCTTGCTTAATATGTCTTTACACCAACTGCATTCTTAGTTGCTTCAACATTCAGATATTTTATTAACAAATTACCAAGAATTACAGGAAATCCTGCATTTTCCTCTCGACAGCTTTTCTTCAGGGATGCTGCAACCACTCGACACAAACAGGTAAATGCACATAGATATACATCCAACAGACCTACAAGGTTGAAGTAAACTTCTGAGTGGGGAGGCGTGTGCCGTCTAGCAGGGGAGTGGTGTTAAGCAACCCAGCCGCGGGGAGGGTAATCCCCAGAAGCACTTCAAGGTAGGTAGACACCACCCCTAACTTCGAGAAGCGAGCTACCTTGAACAAAAAAATCTTTATATACAGTAAATACCACTGTTAAGAGCAAAGTATCTCTCTGCCTTGTCAGTATTTACATACCATTTTCGTTTTATGGTCATATTTTATTTCCCATATATCAGGTAGGTTATACTGAGAGGATGGGGGGGGGGAAGATTCCCAGCTCTGATAAAAAAAAAAACTGCTTATTTTAACTTCCTAACTACTGAATCCATCTCTATATTCTCGCCGTCCTTTTGAAGTCCCACAGCTACGGCTGCCACTTCATTTTCTCGTACGTAACCTATCCTGTGTGATGTAATATGAGAAGGGGAAACTGCCAGCATTTGTTTTCACTACGTAACTACTACAGTACATATAATAGCACACTGCGGGTGTTCTCAAAATACAACTGTCAATAAACAGGTTCGTCGCACACTGCCAGAGAATTCAAGTCCATTTCTATATACCATTTCAAGCACCCCCTATTAATTATCAATTTAAACAAGGACGGTGAGAGTATTTCAGTATCTATTTGTTCATAAGCTGTATGCAGAAACTTAAATATTACATCTAGTGATACAAGTGACAATTACTTGGGAGGTCGAACGCAATCCAACGTAGGCACCACAGCCCGGTTGATCAGCAGCAGCAGCCTTGCAACCTCCCCTCCCCACCACGTGTGTCAAAACAGCAATACACAAAGCAGCAGTGCGAGGGCGGACATGCTCCTCGGGGAGGCTCCTGCCTAACGTTGGCTGCAGTGGGAGAAGGCACAGCAATCCTCGCACCCTCACACTCAGTACTACCTCTGTCCTACCATCATTCCTTCAGACACTCGCCATTATATAGCGCAGGTTTAATATTACTCTTGCATTTATTTGATATGTTGGTGGTGCTGTGGGTGGTGGGGTGATGGGGTGTGTGGTTAGGCGGTTGGTGGGGTATGGTAGCTGTGTTGCACCTCGATATACTTGGCTGCACTCCCCTTTTATCCCGTTCCTCCCACACTAGTCCTGGCTTCCCCGTGGGAGGCAGTAGGCCGGCAACACCCACTATCACATCAAAACAAGAGTCAGTTTTATATGCCAGCCATACGGAAGAGCCCTGTGATCTACCTACCCAAAGATGATTCCTGACCAAACCTTTTTCGGCAACTGCTTGACTCTTAGTGCTGTCAGTATTTAATTCATCCTGTAAACCTGTGACTGGTTACGAGAACTGTTCTGCTAAGTACAAAAACACCAATGTATTTCTCGTCACTGTCCATACCCCAAGCTCTTGGGTAAATTCATTCCTGCACACCTCACTCTTGATACCTAAATATAAATAAATATAAATAAACATAAATAAATAAATATATTATATAAATAAATAAAAATTCTGCAGCCTGGAAATGACCTCTCTTTTCACCAAGATACCCACTTCATAAACTATTCAACTCCTTCACCTAAAAATGTATGACGCCTTCGACCCACCGGCCATGTCACCGGCCATAAATGAAAGCAAATTTAAGATGCAAAGATAATATGCCCATTTAAGGTGAAATAGTTTGTGTTATTAAATCAGGCTAGCATCCTATAAGAGGGAGAGTCATCCTTTGAGGAGTGGGACGCCCTGTGAGGAGTTGCACTCCTAGTGAAAAGGTCTCTACCCCTATACACAAAGTGCTCAAACCTCATTACGACCTTATGGTGGAACGACCCAACACGTGGTCTTGTTTCGTCTACATTATATGGGGGTTTCTTAAGAATATGATGGTAGAATTTAGGAAAGTTACATAAGGGAAACTAGAAGTGACAGGTCACCAACACTGGTGGCACCGACAACCACCACCAACATTGGCGGCGGCAATAACAACCGACAACACCAATCCTCGCCGGAAGTACTAGTTCCGGTTCCACAGCACTCCATATCAACATTCTTCTCAAATGACACTTCCGCACCGCCATACACACAACACTTTCCCCGACACACGTCAGTGATGGAGAAGGTTTTAACACACAAGCCTTTATAACGGAAGTCTACGCTATAAGGTGTATTAAAAATTCTTATATTTACCCGCTTCTCGTTACTGCTTAATAACATACTCCCAGAGTATGTATTAGTGTTATTGGTTAGTTGCTGCGGTACTGATTTTAAATCAAGAAAATTTACGTTAACGTTAAACAAATCTAAAATGACTCCGAGGGACGGGTGAATGTAGGACCGGGCTAGTGACTGTTCGGGATGATGTTGCTCATATATCCTTCAGAAATACATTAAAACGAACCTTAGGTGACTATATAGACTAGCTAATGCTGCTGCTGGATGGCTGTTTATTATATTCGTTGGGAAGCGCTTATAAATATGCAAGAGTCATACAGCTCCATAGAAATGCGAAGCAATCAGAGGGAAAACTTATCATTCCTTGGAGCCCCTAAAGGAATTTTATATCATTACTCCACTCCCTTGCTGGTTCTAATATTCTCCTTGAAGACTCTTAAGTCTCAATTTTCAGTCGTTCATCGTACTTTTTTTTTCCTTTTTTTTTTTATACAAGTCATGTAATGCACCTGAGGAAACTAAGAGGTACGTCAATCAACTGCAAGTCGTGTAGAAATACCCGAGGAAACACTTGCTCGACTGAACTTATTCTACCCGCCATGCATACCTGTAAAACTCCACCCCTGTCTATTAATTACTTAAGCGAGGCGCGCTTAACACCGCTGCCTGGTCTCTGACCAGGCCTCCTGAGTGACAACCTAGTCACTCAAAAACATAAGGACCTCTGCAGCAGGCCTACTGGCTTATGCTAGGCAGGTCCAAGCTTGCAGGAAAAAGAGTCGTTGAGCAACGAGGCAAGACAAATGGCAGCACCTACCTTAGTGTGGAGAAAGGCCAGAGACTTGTTAACATTTTCAATCTTGTGAACGCGCATCCTGCCGTTGTTGGGCTTGCCCAGCTTCTCGCCCGAGATGATCTCGAGCAGTTTGAGAAGCATCTTGCCATCCGCCAGATCGGTGAACAGGTCCATCACCTCCAGCCGCGCCTGAAACAACAACCCCTTACCATACATGGTTCAAAATAAAGGCATGGAGGTTCTCAAAAAGTATCTAATTTTTCAATGTTGGACCAAAGCTGAAGAATATGCTGGTCCTCAGTCACAGACTGCTATCGGTCACCCTGATAGTGACTCATCACATAGTTAAATCAACAATTAATTCTTAAGAGGGGTCACAAGATAGAGGCTACACTATGATATTTCTCAGAGGGTCACACACACAACTGTTACTCACCTTGATGAGAAAGGAGTTCATCCATTTTGTGAAGGTTTTCTTCTGTATACCAAGACGTTCCTCCCGGAGGTGCTGGATGCGACCAGTCTCGAACTGACGGAGGGCGTCCTCTCGCGTCGAGAGTGCCGACATGTCGCCTCCTTACCTCACCATCCTGCAACATCACATTATATTATCACTGCAACAACCTACAACGCTATCAATATAAATTATTCATCCCACCATTCTGCAGCAAACCAAAATTTTCATTTAAAAATAGAACTGGAGGTACGGTAAGGGTACATAACAACCCAGATGAAATGCAAGGATACAATACAATAAGGGATAACTTGAGTATAAAGGATTGGAGATAAACAGCCTTTCTTGAAATATAAAGAAAGTTACGAACATAAATTGGTCTTCACGAAACAACGTACGTTTATCCCAGTTATTCATTATCACCTGGTTTGTGGTGTCTTAGTATCTTAATACTTTCTTTTAACTTTTCAAATTATTTTCTTCCCAGCCTCAGTCATAACACTGCTCTGTGCGTGGGTGCGTGCGTGAGTGTACACTGACGAGTGGGTGAGTGCATGCATTCGTGTGCGTATACCTGCAGCACAGTGGTCACGCTAGATGCTGAGTGTGGAACGCAAGCAAAACTGGCTTGGTATTTTTTAATAGTTCTTGTTCTGCAGCTTATGTTCTTAGTAATTGCAATATTAACAATATTATGATGGTTGACAGTAAGATCGTCCTACATGGCTATCCCCAGACTCCTTGCATTGCTCCTCCGCTCCACTGAGTGGCTCAAGTATGTTTTATATCCATAAATAACAAAAAGGCACAATACCGTAACTGGAACGATACTCTTCTACCTCCACTACTACTACCACCTCCTGCCTATATATACCCCTCCTCCTCTCCTTTTCGTTAGTCTGACTTTGTAAATGGTCCAAGTCGGACCGAAACGTCGTCGTAAACTACTCTCTTCTATGTGCGGGTTATTTGTGTATTATATCCCATTGTTGACAGTTCATATCACACCAGAAGACGTAAAACAGCTAGTTATTTAGTAGTCTATATCATGGAGACCAACACAGTTCTATGTCTAGAAGATGATACAGTAGATCCCAATAGCGTATAAATAACCGAATAAGCTATTGTAAGATACTGTAAAAATGTGAATGATCAGCATCATGATCACCCCAAAGAGGCGACAGCAAATTAGGAATCAGCATTACAAGAGAATTAAAATACTCTCAAATTTGTGATGGGTCCACTTCCACACTTTCCACCCATCCATCTACCAACCAATTCCCCCCTCCCCACGCATCTTACCACCTACACACATCTGTGCTTGACTCACCACCTACACTTGTGATCACTCGACCACCCTCACACTTGTCAAAGTCACTCATTATCCTAGTTCAAATATTTACTACGCCAGAATGTTTTCACTTTCCCTTTTTCTGGGGGGGGGAGGGGTCGTAGAGATCCAATCCTTGCATATGAAGGCAAGTATTACCATGTAGTTATACATGGCATTATTTATATAGACTACATGAAAATTATGACATTTTAAATGTAATGTGGATAGCAGTAACCTTTTCCACATGCGTCTTGGCACATCGGGTATCTCTTAATGGTACACAAAAGCAACAAGTAAATAAGACTCATGTTTAACACTTTGGTACTTTTATTGTGCAGACATTTCGCAAACCAGTGGAGTTATCAATCCAATACAGAAAATAATTACTGGGAAACTGTGGAAAATGTGTAGTAGTTTGAAGCGATCAGTCCGTCAGTGTTGAAAGGTGTGCAGTCCAAGAGACGGACGGACTGAATACCACTTTTCAACACTGAGGAACATGTTACTTCAAACTACTATAAAATTTTCACCGTTCCCCAGCATTATTCTCTGTATTAAACTGATAAAGCCACTGGTTAGCATAGCGTTTCCATTATAAAGATACCCAAGTGTTGCATATGCGTCTTATTCATCTATAACACAAGCTGGGAGATTAGTTTGATATATTAATTTACAAAGATTATAAAATTGTCTGCTCTTCGAAGAAATGTTGAGAATAATACGTTACATATCTAAGAAGTTACAGTACCCTGAATGGGGCAATTCACAACCCACAAAAATTAACCTAAAAATTTAATATAGGTTTCCGTAAGCGAGTCACTCGTCACAACGAACTTCGCCCATTTTCCAACTTGTGTAAGAACTGTAAACTGTCCCAACTTATAAATGCACTGCAATTTTATACAGTGTTTCATACACTAGTGAAATACTCACAACAGACAACAGCGGAATGTTTCGAGGAGAGCAGCAGCGGCTGTAGGCAGGTGCGCTAGGTTCATCTACACCCTAACAGTACTAAGCTTTCCCGCAAGGGCAAGACTTCTAACCTCCCTTCTCACAATCCCAAAGCAAATTTTGCAAACAGGAAGGCGACAGCAGAAGCGCCTTTTCAGGGGCGACTCGACAATTGCAGCAAGTTCTTTCCAGGGATGAAATAACAAAAGCAGGAAGGCCTCTCTAGGGACGACTAAGACCAATACTGCGCCACCAGCCTTCCTAACCACCCTTTATCGTCTATCTACTGATAACATATACATCATTATCAATACATGATAAAACACTGCTGCCAGGAATTCAGAATTGTTGCCGTTACCAACAGGAACGTAACTGTTCAAGGAATGAGGATACTTTTAAAATCCTGAGCACTAGGGGTACTTTTAAAATCCAGAGCATTACCTATCAAATCAAAATTTAAACCTGGTCTAGGACTGTGCCGGGGATGGCGATAATCTCCAGAGGGATCTACAAGTACCCCATCCCCACACAAGCATCTATTTAAACTACTTAGTCACTCCAGCATTAGAACACTTGTTTGGGAAAACCTAACAACATTCCTCTAGCAGGCTCTTGACCGACTGTGTTAAAAATATCTTAGGATACAAGGTCCAAAAAGAAAGATTAGATGATTAGAGAAGATAGAGGTTCTTTGGCTCCATGGCATGACGCAAGCCAATCAATATTTAAAATAAGAATAACGTTCAAAGGGAAATTAAAGAATATAATCCCACCTCATGTATTACATTTTCGTAACATACTATGCATTACTTCGTGTCGAATTCTGTACATGCAACAATCACATTATTATTGTTACTGATATGTGGTACCGATAAATTTATAAGACTCATCTGCAACACTTGGCTATCTATTGTCGAAACGTTTTGCCTGCATAATGGGCTTATTCGGTCGAATACAGGCAAATATAACACTAGAGTAGTGATCAGTCCCTCGACCTTGGGACTAACCACCACCTACAGAGGCTGAGGGACGATTACCGCAAAGCCACTACTACTGTAATCAGTGTTATAATCGTCTGTATTCGAATGGAGGAGACAAAATGTTTCAGTACTATAATAGTGTTGAGCATGTCTTGATCGTCAATGACAATACTGGCTGGGTAAGAAAGGTGGAAACAGCCAGGTAGAAAGTGGATGTCAGAATTCATTTAGATTACCCTCATATGTGGTAGGTAGGTGTAGCAACTCCAAGATAGTAGAGATAATGTCAAGTGCGTGGAGGAGGAAGATAAACAAACTCCGGCACTACATCTTGGAATGTAATATACTACAAGAGTGAGGGGCAGGAAAAGGGAAGTGCAGTGAAGAGGGAAGGCAGAGAGCACCATTAACCGTCTCTCACCAAGTTCTCACTACCATAACGAGTACAAGAGCTCTCTTCCCCCCCCCCCATCCCTCACATTAAGGATCACCCACAACTTCGCTTAAATTTGGGCTATGGGAATAAAGATGAGTATTCAGGATACTTTATTAAAATACATCTCTCCCACTTGGGGTTTTTGAATGGTTATACGCTTGCCTGTGGTCACATTGCCAATGATCAAACCCCTAGTGGGCGAAGCTAATAAAAATGCCAGAAGTTGCAGGCACATTTTTATTCAAACAATTTGTCGGTACTGATATACCTGGACGTGAAGGCAGAGTACTGTCATCCTTCCATGGATCTGCCGTGTACGTGCGGCCAGCAGTAACAGCCTCGTTGGTCAGGCCCTGATCCACCGGGAGGCCTGGTCATGCACCGGGCCGCTGGGGCGTTGATCCCCGGAATACCCTCCAGGTAGACTCCAGGTAGGTAAGGGATTGATTTTGCTAGTTTACTGTGCACCTCGGTTGCATCCCGAGAACGGTAGCGCACGAGTATATAGATATACACAAGGCCGATACAGATACTTTGGCACATTCTCAAAGAGGTTATTATACTGTATCCGTATTCCTCAATAAGTGGACAATTAAACACAGTGTTCAAGACAGTAACCATAAGACTGCCCCCCCCCCCACACTGCATTTGGTTTGATCATCTGTGTCTGCCAAACTGCCAGAAGTACTTGTAATCAAGCCTAAGCCTGGGTACTACGGTCAGTCTGTTCACACTTCAAGTTGTTCCATACACGTACTTATCTACGTTCATGTTATAGTGGGTTACAGATCTATTCAGCCTTCTAACTGCCTTCCTATAACATTTTCATTATTTATTTACTTCTCTAATATTATTCCTAATGCCAGAAAAACGATCATGTTGATGAATTACCAATATCCTTGCAATTTCCACTATGAACCCTTGGAAAAAATGCAGCGGTGCCCATGCTGTCAAGGTGGACACTTGCCACATTTAAGATGCCCCGCGTTTGTAACAGTGGCTAACCAGTAATGTCATCATCTGAGCATATTATCTTTATCTACCAGCACCAGTCTTCTTTATCTAATCTCACGGTGGCCAGGTAAACAATGCAACCAGTCTCAAGAACAGCGGTGATTCTCTTTATTCAGCCTGACACAAACATACTGCACGTACATGTTAACTGAAGGTACTGAAGTCAGAGATTATTTATTCACTTTATCTCACTTATCGTTTGACAACCCTTACCTTCCCACCCTTATCCTTTTTCCCCTTCCTACTCCCCTCCCCCCTCTACCTATAGAATACGGAAGCACAATATTGCGGGTATGTCCAATTTTGCTATTACAAAACTACCTTTCCCTCTTCTTCCCATCTTCTTTTCCAACCTTTCTCCTCATTACCCTTTCTTCCTTCCTATGTAGGTTACCTAGTCAATTCCGGGGGAAGGGGGG